CCCTGCGGTGGGGGGGAGGGAGGGGGAGGAGCCATCAGAGTGGATCAGGGGACGGCAGGGTGGGCAGGCACCGTGTGTCACAGACAACTGGGAGGATGCTGTGGCTTTCCCATGGCATCTCCCCTCCACACTGGTCCTCACCTCCCACGCTCGCCCGCTGGCGCCCCTGTCTCGCCCACGCTGCTGGTGTTGGTCAGGGTCACCCCCTCGCCCTTCTTCTGCTTCTCCTTCCGTGTTATCGTATGCGTCAGGTCCGGGTTCCACTCCTGCAAGCACAGAGCAACTGGCCCCTGAGTGCATGGGCACCCCATGGGGCTGCCAGCACCCCAGCTGGGCTGCCCAGCCTCACCTCAAACTGGGGCCAGTTCATTGGCATCCCAGGGCCACTGGTGCTGCGGAACCACCGGAGATCCTCCTGCGCATCCGAGAGGCGGATGGTCTGCTCCAGCTCCCGGTAGACGTTGGCATAGCTGCGAGAAGAGACACGGGTCGGGGTGCTGTGGGTGGGGGTGAACGCTGGAGGGGTCCCCCGGGGATGGGGGACATGACCGGGTTGTGTCACCTCCTACAAGCCACTGGGGGGCACCAGGCTCCTGCACAGCCCTCTCGCCACTCTGGTACCTCTTGGTGACCATCGTGTTGGCCAGGAACCCCTCTCCCTTGGATTACAGGGGATGGGTTGTCCTGGAAGCACTCGGTCCCTCCAGGACTTGGTTTGCTTTCCAGGCAGCACAAGGAGACCTTGTGTGGGCACTTTCTGTGCAGCCAGCACAGGAGGCACCTACCTGCTGCTCTCGGCCAGGTTCAGGTGCCTCTTGATGTCCAGAAGCACTTCCTTGAGAAAGTTGAGCCTTTTCTCCTCAAACTGCTGGCACTGCTCAAAGACCTGCTCCATGCTCTCGATGTACTGCGGGGTGCACTTGTTCAGCTCGTCCAGCACCTTCTCGTACTTCTCCTGAGTCTGCAAAGGCACAGGAGGGTACCTTGGTTATACCTCGAGCACCTCAGAGGCCCTTTCTGGGTGCTGAGAGGGTCTGGTTTGTGGGTCACCATGCTGGGGAGCTCAGATTGAGCCAAGAGCCTCTGTGGGTGAAATCAGTCTGGCTGCCGGTGAGATTTTGCCCAAGTAGGAGGGGTAAATCTCTGCTCTGCTCACACCTGCCTGAGCACTGCCTGCAAGCCCTCACCCTTCCACAGGAGCATAGGGATGGGAAAATGGGAATCAATGGGGGGAAAAAGGGATGTGGTGGCCATTTCCATTGGTTTTTCTTGTCCGATGCCCTGTGAGCCTGGAGCAGGGCAGCGGCTCGCACCTTTTGCACATCTTGCTTGCACTTTTCCACTTTGTCCTGAAGCTTCTTCTGCTGCTCGGGGGTGTTGGACTGCTCCGCCTTGCTGTTGGCTTCCCGGGTCATTGCCAGCTTCTCCTCCTTGCAGGCCAGGTGGTAGGCTTTCTTGGCTGTCTCCAGCTGTGGAGAAGAGGGAGAAGACACATCAGGGTAGCAGTCACAGCCCCCTGCCCACCCCTCTGCCTGTGGGGAGGTGCCACCGGGCTCCCCCCGCCTGGACTGGGCACCCAGAGCAGGAGCTGGGAGATGGCATGGGTGCCCTAGGACATGCTGTGCTTCTCCTCTCACCTCCTTGAGCTTCTTGGCCCAGGGCTTCTGGGCTTTCCGGAAGCCGTCCTCAGCCTCCTTGGCCTCCTTGAAGCCCCCCATGATCTGCTTGTGGTAGGCGTCCTTCTGCCAGTTCTTGACTTTCTCGAAATCGTCATTCAGCAGGCTGTTCTTCACCTCCTGGTGCAGCTCACTCACCTTGTCTGCCTCTGTCATGATGGCACCCCATGCCTTCTCCAGGCTGCCATACTGGGGACCTGGGGGGCGGAGGGGACAGCCGAGTGTCACTCCACCACCCTTACCCCCTCTATTTCTACCAGGGGCAGTTGCGATGGTGCACAGGGACCCATGGGACCCAGGTGTCCTGGGGGGAGCCTCCCCCTGGAGAAGCCATGGTACCTTTCTCGATGAGCTGCCTCCACCGCTTGGACCAGTCGGTGAGCTGCTGGGCATAGGACTTCTCGATCTTGGCCCGCTCGTGCATGCAGTTCATGAGGTCATTGCAGAGCCGGTGCCCATCATCGATCCGCTTCACCGTGCGCTTGTAGTTCCCCACCTGGGAGGGGGACGGGGACAGGGACGGGGATAGGGACAGGCAGGCATGGGAGCTGTGGCCGGGCTGCCTGGCTCAGCCCCAGCTGGTCCGGGGTGGGGATGGGGGAGCACCAAGGGGTGCAGGGAGGGAGCTTTTGCTTTGGGGCTGCTCAAACCCAGCTCCTTTCAGTCCCCTCCATCGCTCTGCGCCCCTCGGGGACAGCCAAGCTGGAGACCTCCAGCAGAGCTGGCTGGGACACCCGAGCCACAGCCGCAGGGATGCCCGCAGG